TGGGCTGCCCCTCACTCCTCCCAGTTTCCTCCGACAGAGGCCCCGCTGCAGACGCTTCACATGGACGTGTGGGGCCCGGCCCGCGTCCGTGGACAGGGTCACGAGCGCTACTTCCTGCTGGTGGTTGACGACTACTCGCGTTACACCACGGTCTTCCCCTTGCGCAGCAAGGGTGATGTCACTGAGGTGTTGATCGACTGGATCCGCGCAGCTCGTCTCCAGCTCAGGCAGAGCTTCGCCTCGGACTTTCCTGTTCTGCGTCTGCACTCTGACAGAGGTGGAGAGTTCTCCTCTGGCCTTCTGCGAGCCTACTGTCGTGCACGAGGCATCCGCCAGACATTCACGCTTCCGGACTCTCCACAGCAAAATGGGATTGCTGAGCGCCGCATTGGCATGGTCATGGACGTCGCCCGTACGTCCATGATGCATGCGGCTGCCCCCCATTTTCTGTGGCCGTTTGCGGTTCGGTACGCGGCGCATCAGATCAACCTTCACCCCAGGGTCTCCATGCCGGAGACCTCCCCAGCTTTGCTGTGGACGGGGAAGGTTGGCGATGCGTCTGCGTTCCGTGTCTGGGGATCTCGGGCGTTTGTCCGCGACTTGTCTGCGGACAAGCTGTCCCCTCGTGCTGCTCCTTGCGTCTTCCTTGGCTTCCCCCCTGACGCGCCAGGGTGGCAGTTCTACCACCCCACCTCTCGCCGTGTTCTGTCCTCGCAGGACGTCACGTTTGACGAGTCGGTCCCCTACTACCGCCTCTTCCCCTACCGCACTCCGTCCCTCCCCCCGCCACCGCTCTTCCTTGTGCCAGGTCCCCCCCCGGTAGACCCCCTCCCCCCTCAAGGTCCTGCCCCTTCAGGTGTGTCCCAGGTAGATGCAGTCGAGCCTGTCGAGGTTACTGGTGACTCTGGTGCTGCTGAGGGTGCTGAGCCTGGGGGTGCTGACTCTGGGGGTGCTGAGCGTGTGGGTGCTACGCCTGGGGGTGCTGAGCCTGAGGGTGCTACTACTGGGGGTGCTGAGCCTGGGGGTGCTGAGCCTGGGGGTGCTGCTACTGGGGGTGCTGAGCCTGGGGGTGCTGAGCCTGGGGGTGCTACGCCTGGGGGTGCTGAGCCTGGGGGTGCTATGCCTGGAGGTGCTGAGCCTGGGGGTGCGGAGCCTGAGGGAGCTGGGCCTGCTCGTGTGGCGTCTGGCGGTGCTGAGCCTGGAGGTTCTCCGGGTGCTTCGTCTCGGCGGGAGCCACTCTCTCCACAGGAGCTGCGAGAGTGGTTTGCCCGACGCTGGAGGCGTGCTGCTGGAGCTGGAGGTTCTTCGACTGCTGCGGGTGCTGGTGCCGCGGGTCCCGGAGGTGCTCGTACTGGGAGTACTGGAGCTGCTGGGCCTGCGGGTACGCCTGGAGCTGGAGCTGCTGAGGGTGTTGGCGCTGAGGCTACTGCTGTCGGTCCTGGAGGCGGTCCTGCTGGGGGTGCTCCTGGTGCTGCTGGAGGTACTGGAGCTGGAGGTGCTGCTGGCGCTGGTGCTGCCGCTGGGGGTACTGGTGCTGTCCCTGCTGTGTCTGGAGTCGCCGCGCGGCCTCGGCCGTACTTCGTTCCGCTCCTTCAGCAGGTTCTTGGTCTCCCGCCTTCTACTGGTCCTCCTCCTCCCTTAGAGTGTCCACAGCCTGTCCCGTCCCAGTTACAGTTACAGCCGGCCTTCACACTGCCCGCTCCTTCTCCCTACACTGGTCCTACTGGAGGTCTGGCTGAGCGTCGTGAGCCTGCGTCTCGCCCTGCGTCGCCTGTCCGTCTTGCTCGCACTAGTGGCCGTGGTTCGCGTCAGCGTCCTCCTCCTGTCCCTGGCACGCACCGGATGTCTCTGCGTCCGTCCACTGCTCCTCTACGTGCCCCTTTGCCTTCTCCTCCTGAGTCCTCTCTTCCTGCTCTTCCCGACCCGGAGTCGGACTCTCTTCGTGCTGCCAGTCCTACTGTCACGCGTCTCCTTGCTACTGTCGTCACTGACCCTTCCTTTGAGTCCACTGCTGCGTCTGCCCTAGTTGCTGAGCTCGTCGACTTTGCTGCCCACTGTCGTCTAGACTACGCTGCTAGTCTTGTCGTTGCGTCTGAGTCTGTCTGTCCTCCGTCCGTCGGGGGTGAGTGTGCCCTTGGCACGGACGTCCTTGAGGACAGGCAGGAGGAGTTCCAGTGTTTGGCTGCTGCTTCACCTCATCTCGTGTCCGTACTGCTTATCCCTGAGGGAGACCCGGATGCACTTGACATCCCGACTCCGCGCTCTTACGCGGAGGCGATAGAGGGTCCCTACTCCTCTCAGTGGCAGGCAGCTATGGACACAGAGATGGCTTCCTGGAAGTCCACAGGCACCTACTTTGACGAGGTTCCCCCGCCTGGGGCGAACATCGTCAGTGGCATGTGGATTTTCAGGGTGAAGCGACCGCCGGGTTCTCCGCCTGTCTTCAAGGCACGTTACGTGGCTCGTGGCTTCAGTCAGCGGCAGGGAGTTGACTACTTTCAGACCTTCTCTCCCACCCCGAAGATGACCTCTCTTCGGGTACTGCTGCACATAGCTGCTCACCGCGACTACGAGCTGCACTCTCTTGACTTCAGCACTGCTTTCTTGCAGGGCAGCCTGCACGAGGAGATCTGGCTGCGTCGCCCACCTGGCTTCACTGGGTCTTTTCCTCCTGGCACCCAGTGGAGCCTCCGGCGGCCAGTCTACGGTCTCCGCCAGGCACCGCGTGAGTGGCACGACACACTGAGGACTACACTTGCGGCTCTTGGGTTTGCTCCCTCTACTGCCGACCCGTCGCTGTTTCTGCGCACCGACACTTCTTTGCCGCCGTTCTACATCCTCGTGTACGTCGACGACTTGGTCTTTGCCACAGCTGACACTACTGGACTCGCCCACGTGAAGTCCGAGCTGCAGAAGAGACACACGTGCACAGACCTGGGTGAACTGCGCAGCTACCTTGGCTTGCAGATCACCCGGGACAGAGCACGCCGCACCATTACCCTGACTCAGTCACACGTCTTCTGTTCTCGGCTCCAGTTGTGAGGCTGAGATCTACGCCGGGGCCATGGCTGCACAGGAGCTTCGCTGGCTCACCTACCTGCTGACTGACCTCGGAGAGCCGCCTCGTTCTCCTCCAGTGCTGTACGTAGACAACAAGGCCATGCTGGCCTTGTGTCGAGAGCAGAGACTGGAGCACAGAACGAAGCACATTGCTCTCCGCTACTTCCTTGCTCGTGAGCTACAGCAGCGTGGTCAGCTGCGGCTTGCGTACGTGGCCTCTCAGGCCAACACTGCTGATATCTTCACCAAGGCACTTGCGCCTTGTGATCATCAGCGCTTCTGTACTCAGCTGGGTCTTGTGCCTACCTTGACTCACTTGCTCACCCCTTGACCTTGTTTGTACTGTTGCATATATATATACACCTGCTCTTGCTTGTCTAGCCTTATATATATATGTAATCCTGCATGTGAACTGGCCTTGTGGCCTTGAACTTGTGCTCGGAATGTGTGGTGACTTTGTGATCCACCCTGAGCTTGCTTTGCTTTGCTTGACTGGTCTTGTGACCCCTTGTTCTCCCCCACTTTGCCTATGGGGGTGTGTCAGATTTATATGACATAGCTACTGTAGGCTATAGTGGGGTAGCACATATGGGGTACAGTTTTCTAGGGTTTACATTTGTACCCAACTTTCCCTTAGTCATTTCATTCTCGTTTCTATTCTCACATCATTTTCTTCTCTTTCAACTTATTATAAACGAGGTCACTCAAAGATCTCATTGTCTTTCATCCTACTTGGCTAGCTTTATCCTATCCATCGATTCCTTGGTTATATCAATATGGTATGAGAGCACGGTTGGATTATAAGGCCTGCCAAGTCTTTGTTCTCTCCAAGAACAACCTTTTTATTAACTTACTCAATACAACACCTGTTAGACAGTCTGCATCAGCATGTCTCCTGAAGGCAAAACTACAGCAGACTCCCCGGGCCCACCAACAACAACAAACCCGCCGTCAACGGTGACAACCGTCAATGCAAAGGTCGTTGAACGACTCATTGCACGCATCAGTGCCCTTGAAAGCCATCAGACGATGAGCATCGACGGTTCCAGCTACGCCAGAGGAGTCGCTGGGCTCCCTCTCCCAGGAGAAGACCGTCGCGTCAACTCCGAGAGATCCTTCACCTTTGACAATCGTCAAGCTTCAGCTCCTGCACGAGACAACCAGCAACGTGCGCAAACCAAATTTCTCACGACATCAAAGCTGAAGACATCAACTCTATTCGACGGCAAAGACTTCTACACGTCGAGTTTCGAATTTGAACTCCTCGCGACAACCGCGCAGATTCGGATGTACTACGACAGGACTCTTACCTTCCCAACAGAAGGCACTCTTTAAGAGAAGAATATCCTCTACCACGAGTCTCTCCTCGCGTACACCGTTCTTCTCCGTAATCTCTCCCCCACCAAGCAGCTTGGCATCCGCTCCTTCAAGACGGAGTGGGTTCCCGCGCAAGTCTCATGGGAATACCTGCGCAACATGTACATGGCGAGAGATCCTGTATCAAAATGGTTCAAGGGGAGAAAGCGGACCCTGTATCAATCGCTGCCGAAATCTGCGCGACCAATTCGCGCGACCAATTCAAGAAGTGTGGTGGGAACGTCCCTGACGACATGTTCGTCACTATGATCCTTTTAGGACTTGGACCAGAATGGCGACAATGCAAATCTCTGCTTCGTGCTCGATGAGCCGTTTCTGAAGCTGCCCTCTGCGCCACCTCCTCTCCGAGCAGTAGGAGATCGATCTGTATAACAAAAGGAACGGCAAGAGCGAAACAAATGGTGTTCTACGCTGGCGCCAATGAGAAAATAGGCTATTTCTGCAAGTATTGCAAGAAACAATGGACCGTTGCTTCAAGCGCAAGGCCGCCAACAATAAGCGCAACAATGGCGGCTCGCCTGGTTATCCGCATCAGACTTGAACTCCCGTCGCGACGCCAACAGCTGCACCAATGGCGACGATGTCACCTCCTGGCGCGTCGGGCAGCGGGGCGCGCTGGCGCGCTGGGCAGCGGGGCGCGCTGGCGCGTCGGGCAGCGGGGCGCGCTGGCGCGTCGGGCAGCGGGGCGCGCTGGCGCGCTGGGCAGCGGGGCGCGCTTGCGCGCTGGGCAGGGGGGCGCGCTGGCGCATCGGGCAGCGGGGCGCGCTGGCGCGTCGGGCAGCGGGGCGCGCTGGCGCGCTGGGCAGCGGGGCGCGCTGGGCAGCGAGGCGCGCTGGCGCGTCGGGCAGCGGGGCGCGCTGGCGCGTCGGGCAGCGGGGCGCGCTGGCGCGTCGGGCAGCGGGGCGCGCTGGCGCGCTGGGCAGCGGGGCGCGCTGGCGCGCTGGGCAGCGGGGCGCGCTGGCGCGCTGGGCAGCGGGGCGCGCTGGCGCGTCGGGCAGTGGGGCGCGCTGGCGCGTCGGGCAGCGGGGCGCGCTGGCGCGCTGGGGAGCGGGGCGCGCTGGCGCGCTGGGCAGCGGGGCGCGCTGGCGCGTCGGGCAGCGGGGCGCGCTGGCGCGCTGGGCAGCGGGGCGCGCTGGCGCGTCGGGCAGCGGGACGCGCGCTGGAGCGCTGGGCAGCGGGGCGCGCTGGCGCGCTGGGCAGCGGGGCGCGCTGGCGCGCTGGGCAGCGGGGCGCGCTGGCGCGTCGGGCAGCAGGGCGCGCTGGCGCGCTGGGCAGCGGGGCGCGCTGGCGCGCTGGCGCGCTGGGCAGCGGGGCGCGCTGGCGCGTCGGGAAGCGGAGCGCGCTGGCGCGTTGGGCAGCGGGGCGCGCTGGCGCGCTGGGCAGCGGGGCGCGCTGGCGCGTCGGGCAGCGGGGCGCGCTGGCGCGTTGGGCAGCGGGGCGCGCTGGCGCGTCGGGCAGCGGGGCGCGCTGGCGCGTCGGGCAGCGGGGCGCGCTGGTGCGCTGGGCAGCGGGGCGCGCTGGCGCGTCGGGCAGCGGGGCGCGCTGGCGCGTTGGGCAGCGGGGCGCGCTGGCGCGCTGGGCAGCGGGGCGCGCTGGCGCGTCGGGCAGCGGGGCGCGCTGGCGCGCTGGGCAGCGGGGCGCGCTGGCGCGTCGGGCAGCGGGGCGCGCTGGCGCGTCGGGCAGCGGGGCGCGCTGGCGCGCTGGGGAGCGGGGCGCGCTGGCGCGCTGGGCAGCGGGGCGCGCTGGCGCGTCGGGCAGCGGGGCGCGCTGGCGCGTCGGGCAGCGGGGCGCGCTGGAGCGCTGGGCAGCGGGGCGCGCTGGCGCGCTGGGCAGCGGGGCGCGCTGGCGCGCTGGGCAGCGGGGTGCGCTGGCGCGCTGGGCAGCGGGGCGCGCTGGCGCGCTGGGCAGCGGGGCGCGCTGGCGCGCTGGGCAGCGGGGCGCGCTGGCGCGCTGGCGCGCTGGGCAGCGGGGCGCGCTGGCGCGTCGGGCAGCGGGGCGAGCTGGCGCGTCGGGCAGCGGGGCGCGCTGGAGCGCTGGGCAGCGGGGCGCGCTGGCGCGCTGGGCAGCGGGGCGCGCTGGCGCGCTGGGCAGCGGGGTGCGCTGGCGCGCTGGGCAGCGGGGCGCGCTGGCGCGCTGGGCAGCGGGGCGCGCTGGCGCGCTGGGCAGCGGGGCGCGCTGGCGCGCTGGGCAGCGGGGCGCGCTGGCGCGTCGGGCAGCGGGGCGCGCTGGCGCGCTGGGCAGCGGGGCGCGCTGGCGCGTCGGGCAGCGGGGCGCGCTGGCGCGTCGGGCAGCGGGGCGCGCTGGCGCGCTGGGGAGCGGGGCGCGCTGGCGCGCTGGGCAGCGGGGCGCGCTGGCGCGTCGGGCAGCGGGGCGCGCTGGCGCGCTGGGCAGCGGGGCGCGCTGGCGCGTCGGGCAGCGGGGCGCGCTGGCGCGTCGGGCAGCGGGGCGCGCTGGAGCGCTGGGCAGCGGGGCGCGCTGGCGCGCTGGGCAGCGGGGCGCGCTGGCGCGCTGGGCAGCGGGGTGCACTGGCGCGCTGGGCAGCGGGGCGCGCTGGCGCGCTGGGCAGCGGGGCGCGCTGGCGCGCTGGGCAGCGGGGCGCGCTGGCGCGCTGGGCAGCGGGGCGCGCTGGCGCGTCGGGCAGCGGGGCGCGCTGGCGCGTCGGGCAGCGGGGCGCGCTGGAGCGATGGGCAGCGGGGCGCGCTGGCGCGCTGGGCAGCGGGGCGCGCTGGCGCGCTGGGCAGCGGGGTGCGCTGGCGCGCTGGGCAGCGGGGCGCGCTGGCGCGCTGGCGCGCTGGGCAGCGGGGCGCGCTGGCGCGCTGGGCAGCGGGGCGCGCTGGCGCGCTGGCGCGCTGGGCAGCGGGGCGCGCTGGGCAGCGGGCCGCGCTGGCGCGTCGGGCAGCGGGGCGCGCTGGCGCGTCGGGCAGCGGGGTGCGCTAACGCGCTGGGCAGCGGGGCGCGCTGGCGCGTCGGGCAGCGGGGCGCGCTGGCGCGTCGGGCAGCGGGGCGCGCTGGAGCGCTGGGCAGCGGGGCGCGCTGGCGCGCTGGGCAGCGGGGCGCGCTGGCGCGCTGGGCAGCGGGGTGCGCTGGCGCGCTGGGCAGCGGGGCGCGCTGGCGCGCTGGGCAGCGGGGCGCGCTGGCGCGCTGGGCAGCGGGGCGCGCTGGCGCGTCGGGCAGCGGGGCGCGCTGGCGCGTTGGGCAGCGGGGCGCGCTGGCGCGCTGGGCAGCGGGGCGCGCTGGCGCGTCGGGCAGCGGGGCGCGCTGGCGCGCTGGGCAGCGGGGCGCGCTGGCGCGTCGGGCAGCGGGGCGCGCTGGAGCGCTGGGCAGCGGGGCGCGCTGGCGCGCTGGGCAGCGGGGCGCGCTGGCGCGCTGGGCAGCGGGGCGCGCTGGCGCGCTGGGCAGCGGGGCGCGCTGGCGCGTCGGGCAGCGGGGCGCGCTGGCGCGCTGGGGAGCGGGGCGCGCTGGCGCGCTGGGTAGCGGGGCGCGCTGGCGCGTCGGGCAGCGGGGCGCGCTGGCGCGCTGGGCAGCGGGGCGCGCTGGCGCGTCGGGCAGCGGGGCGCGCTGGCGCGTCGGGCAGCGGGGCGCGCTGGAGCGCTGGGCAGCGGGGCGCGCTGGCGCGCTGGGCAGCGGGGCGCGCTGGCGCGCTGGGCAGCGGGGTGCGCTGGCGCGCTGGGCAGCGGGGCGCGCTGGCGCGCTGGGCAGCGGGGCGCGCTGGCGCGCTGGGCAGCGGGGCGCGCTGGCGCGCTGGGCAGCGGGGCGCGCTGGCGCGCTGGGCAGCGGGGCGCGCTGGGCAGCGGGGCGCGCTGGCGCGCTGGGCAGCGGGGTGCGCTGGCGCGCTGGGCAGCGGGGCGCGCTGGCGCGCTGGCGCGCTGGGCAGCGGGGCGCGCTGGCGCGCTGGGCAGCGGGGCGCGCTGGCGCGCTGGCGCGCTGGCGCGCTGGGCAGCGGGGCGCGCTGGCGCGCTGGGCAGCGGGCCGCGCTGGCGCGTCGGGCAGCGGGGCGCGCTGGCGCGTCGGGCAGCGGGGTGCGCTGGCGCGCTGGGCAGCGGGGCGCGCTGGCGCGTCGGGCAGCGGGGCGCGCTGGCGCGTCGGGCAGCGGGGCGCGCTGGAGCGCTGGGCAGCGGGGCGCGCTGGCGCGCTGGGCAGCGGGGCGCGCTGGCGCGCTGGGCAGCGGGGTGCGCTGGCGCGCTGGGCAGCGGGGCGCGCTGGCGCGCTGGGCAGCGGGGCGCGCTGGCGCGCTGGGCAGCGGGGCGCGCTGGCGAGTCGGGCAGCGGGGCGCGCTGGCGCGTTGGGCAGCGGGGCGCGCTGGCGCGCTGGGCAGCGGGGCGCGCTGGCGCGTCGGGCAGCGGGGCGCGCTGGCGCGCTGGGCAGCGGGGCGCGCTGGCGCGTCGGGCAGCGGGGCGCGCTGGAGCGCTGGGCAGCGGGGCGCGCTGGCGCGCTGGGCAGCGGGGCGCGCTGGCGCGCTGGGCAGCGGGGCGCGCTGGCGCGCTGGGCAGCGGGGCGCGCTGGCGCGTCGGGCAGCGGGGCGCGCTGGCGCGCTGGGGAGCGGGGCGCGCTGGCGCGCTGGGCAGCGGGGCGCGCTGGCGCATCGGGCAGCGGGGCGCGCTGGCGCGCTGGGCAGCGGGGCGCGCTGGCGCGTCGGGCAGCGGGGCGCGCTGGCGCGTCGGGCAGCGGGGCGCGCTGGAGCGCTGGGCAGCGGGACGCGCTGGCGCGCTGGGCAGCGGGGCGCGCTGGCGCGCTGGGCAGCGGGGTGCGCTGGCGCGCTGGGCAGCGGGGCGCGCTGGCGCGCTGGGCAGCGGGGCGCGCTGGCGCGCTGGGCAGCGGGGCGCGCTGGCGCGCTGGGCAGCGGGGCGCGCTGGCGCGCTGGGCAGCGGGCCGCGCTGGCGCGTCGGGCAGCGGGGCGCGCTGGCGCGTCGGGCAGCGGGGCGCGCTGGCGCGCTGGGCAGCGGGGCGCGCTGGCGCGTCGGGCAGCGGGGCGCACTGGCGCGTCGGGCAGCGGGGCGCGCTGGAGCGCTGGGCAGCGGGGCGCGCTGGCGCGCTGGGCAGCGGGGCGCGCTGGCGCGCTGGGCAGCGGGGTGCGCTGGCGCGCTGGGCAGCGGGGCGCGCTGGCGCGCTGGGCAGCGGGGCGCGCTGGCGCGCTGGGCAGCGGGGCGCGCTGGCGCGTCGGGCAGCGGGGCGCGCTGGCGCGTTGGGCAGCGGGGCGCGCTGGCGCGCTGGGCAGCGTGGCGCGCTGGCGCGTCGGGCAGCGGGGCGCGCTGGCGCGCTGGGCAGCGGGGCGCGCTGGCGCGTCGGGCAGCGGGGCGCGCTGGCGCGTCGGGCAGCGGGGCGCGCTGGAGCGCTGGGCAGCGGGGCGCGCTGGCGCGCTGGGCAGCGGGGTGCGCTGGCGCGCTGGGCAGCGGGGCGCGCTGGCGCGCTGGGCAGCGGGGCGCGCTGGCGCGCTGGGCAGCGTGGCGCGCTGGCGCGTCGGGCAGCGGGGCGCGCTGGCTCGCTGGGCAGCGGGGCGCGCTGGCGCGTCGGGCAGCGGGGCGCGCTGGCGCGTCGGGCAGCGGGGCGCGCTGGCGCGTCGGGCAGCGGGGCGCGCTGGCGCGCTGGGCAGCGGGGCGCGCTGGCGCGCTGGGCAGCGGGGCGCGCTGGCGCGTCGGGCAGCGGGGCGCGCTGGCGCGCTGGGCAGCGGGGCGCGCTGGCGCGCTGGGCAGCGAGGCGCGCTGGCGCGTCGGGCAGCGGGGCGCGCTGGCGCGCTGGGCAGCGGGGCGCGCTGGCGCGCTGGGCAGCGGGGCGCGCTGGCGCGCTGGCGCGCTGGGCAGCGGGGCGCGCTGGCGCGTCGGGAAGCGGAGCGCGCTGGCGCGTTGGGCAGCGGGGCGCGCTGGCGCGCTGGGCAGCGGGGCGCGCTGGCGCGTCGGGCAGCGGGGCGCGCTGGCGCGTTGGGCAGCGGGGCGCGCTGGCGCGTCGGGCAGCGGGGCGCGCTGGCGCGTCGGGCAGCGGGGCGCGCTGGAGCGCTGGGCAGCGGGGCGCGCTGGCGCGTCGGGCAGCGGGACGCGCTGGCGCGCTGGGCAGCGGGGCGCGCTGGCGCGCTGGGCAGCGGGGCGCGCTGGCGCGTCGGGCAGCGGGGCGCGCTGGCGCGCTGGGCAGCGGGGCGCGCTGGCGCGTCGGGCAGCGGGGCGCGCTGGCGCGTCGGGCAGCGGGCGCGCTGGCGCGCTGGGCAGCGGGGCGCGCTGGCGCGCTGGGCAGCGGGGCGCGCTGGCGCGTCGGGCAGCGGGGCGCGCTGGCGCGTCGGGCAGCGGGGCGCGCTGGAGCGTCGGGCAGCGGGGCGCGCTGGCGCGCTGGGCAGCGGGGCGCGCTGGCGCGCTGGGCAGCGGGGCGCGCTGGCGCGCTGGGCAGCGGGGCGCGCTGGCGCGCTGGGCAGCGGGGCGCGCTGGCGCGCTGGGCAGCGGGGCGCGCTGGCGCGCTGGGCAGCGGGGCGCGCTGGCGCGCTGGCGCGTCGGGCAGCGGGGCGAGCTGGCGCGTCGGGCAGCGGGGCGCGCTGGAGCGCTGGGCAGCGGGGCGCGCTGGCGCGCTGGGCAGCGGGGCGCGATGGCGCGCTGGGCAGCGGGGTGCGCTGGCGCGCTGGGCAGCGGGGCGCGCTGGCGCGCTGGGCAGCGGGGCGCGCTGGCGCGCTGGGCAGCGGGGCGCGCTGGCGCGCTGGGCAGCGGGGCGCGCTGGCGCGTCGGGCAGCGGGGCGCGCTGGCGCGCTGGGCAGCGGGGCGCGCTGGCGCGTCGGGCAGCGGGGCGCGCTGGCGCGTCGGGCAGCGGGGCGCGCTGGCGCGCTGGGGAGCGGGGCGCGCTGGCGCGCTGGGCAGCGGGGCGCGCTGGCGCGTCGGGCAGCGGGGCGCGCTGGCGCGCTGGGCAGCGGGGCGCGCTGGCGCGTCGGGCAGCGGGGCGCGCTGGCGCGTCGGGCAGCGGGGCGCGCTGGAGCGCTGGGCAGCGGGGCGCGCTGGCGCGCTGGGCAGCGGGGCGCGCTGGCGCGCTGGGCAGCGGGGCGCGCTGGCGCGCTGGGCAGCGGGGCGCGCTGGCGCGCTGGGCAGCGGGGCGCGCTGGCGCGCTGGGCAGCGGGGCGCGCTGGCGCGCTGGGCAGCGGGGCGCGCTGGCGCGTCGGGCAGCGGGGCGCGCTGGCGCGTCGGGCAGCGGGGCGCGCTGGAGCGATGGGCAGCGGGGCGCGCTGGCGCGCTGGGCAGCGGGGCGCGCTGGCGCGCTGGGCAGCGGGGTGCGCTGGCGCGCTGGGCAGCGGGGCGCGCTGGCGCGCTGGGCAGCGGGGCGCGCTGGCGCGCTGGGCAGCGGGGCGCGCTGGCGCGCTGGGCAGCGGGGCGCGCTGGCGCGCTGGGCAGCGGGCCGCGCTGGCGCGTCGGGCAGCGGGGCGCGCTGGCGCGTCGGGCAGCGGGGTGCGCTGGCGCGCTGGGCAGCGGGGCGCGCTGGCGCGTCGGGCAGCGGGGCGCGCTGGCGCGTCGGGCAGCGGGGCGCGCTGGAGCGCTGGGCAGCGGGGCGCGCTGGCGCGCTGGGCAGCGGGGCGCGCTGGCGCGCTGGGCAGCGGGGTGCGCTGGCGCGCTGGGCAGCGGGGCGCGCTGGCGCGCTGGGCAGCGGGGCGCGCTGGCGCGCTGGGCAGCGGGGCGCGCTGGCGCGTCGGGCAGCGGGGCGCGCTGGCGCGTTGGGCAGCGGGGCGCGCTGGCGCGCTGGGCAGCGGGGCGCGCTGGCGCGTCGGGCAGCGGGGCGCGCTGGCGCGCTGGGCAGCGGGGCGCGCTGGCGCGTCGGGCAGCGGGGCGCGCTGGAGCGCTGGGCAGCGGGGCGCGCTGGCGCGCTGGGCAGCGGGGCGCGCTGGCGCGCTGGGCAGCGGGGCGCGCTGGCGCGCTGGGCAGCGGGGCGCGCTGGCGCGTCGGGCAGCGGGGCGCGCTGGCGCGCTGGGGAGCGGGGCGCGCTGGCGCGCTGGGCAGCGGGGCGCGCTGGCGCGTCGGGCAGCGGGGCGCGCTGGCGCGCTGGGCAGCGGGGCGCGCTGGCGCGTCGGGCAGCGGGGCGCGCTGGCGCGTCGGGCAGCGGGGCGCGCTGGAGCGCTGGGCAGCGGGGCGCGCTGGCGCGCTGGGCAGCGGGGCGCGCTGGCGCGCTGGGCAGCGGGGCGCGCTGGCGCGCTGGGCAGCGGGGCGCGCTGGCGCGCTGGGCAGCGGGGCGCGCTGGCGCGCTGGGCAGCGGGGCGCGCTGGCGCGCTGGGCAGCGGGGCGCGCTGGCGCGCTGGGCTGCGGGCCGCGCTGGCGCGTCGGGCAGCGGGGCGCGCTGGCGCGTCGGGCAGCGGGGCGCGCTGGCGCGCTGGGCAGCGGGGCGCGCTGGCGCGTCGGGCAGCGGGGCGCACTGGCGCGTCGGGCAGCGGGGCGCGCTGGAGCGCTGGGCAGCGGGGCGCGCTGGCGCGCTGGGCAGCGGGGCGCGCTGGCGCTGGGCAGCGGGGTGCGCTGGCGCGCTGGGCAGCGGGGCGCGCTGGCGCGCTGGGCAGCGGGGCGCGCTGGCGCGCTGGGCAGCGGGGCGCGCTGGCGCGTCGGGCAGCGGGGCGCGCTGGCGCGTTGGGCAGCGGGGCGCGCTGGCGCGCTGGGCAGCGTGGCGCGCTGGCGCGTCGGGCAGCGGGGCGCGCTGGCGCGCTGGGCAGCGGGGCGCGCTGGCGCGTCGGGCAGCGGGGCGCGCTGGCGCGTCGGGCAGCGGGGCGCGCTGGAGCGCTGGGCAGCGGGGCGCGCTGGCGCGCTGGGCAGCGGGGTGCGCTGGCGCGCTGGGCAGCGGGGCGCGCTGGCGCGCTGGGCAGCGGGGCGCGCTGGCGCGCTGGGCAGCGTGGCGCGCTGGCGCGTCGGGCAGCGGGGCGCGCTGGCTCGCTGGGCAGCGGGGCGCGCTGGCGCGTCGGGCAGCGGGGCGCGCTGGCGCGTCGGGCAGCGGGGCGCGCTGGCGCGTCGGGCAGCGGGGCGCGCTGGCGCGCTGGGCAGCGGGGCGCGCTGGCGCGCTGGGCAGCGGGGCGCGCTGGCGCGTCGGGCAGCGGGGCGCGCTGGCGCGCTGGGCAGCGGGGCGCGCTGGCGCGCTGGGCAGCGAGGCGCGCTGGCGCGTCGGGCAGCGGGGCGCGCTGGCGCGCTGGGCAGCGGGGCGCGCTGACGCGTCGGGCAACGGGGCGCGCTGGCGCGTCGGGCAGCGGGGCGCGCTGGAGCGCTGGGCAGCGGGGCGCGCTGGCGCGCTGGGCAGCGGGGCGCGCTGCCGCGCTGGGCAGCGGGGTGCGCTGGCGCGCTGGGCAGCGGGGCGCGCTGGCGCGCTGGGCAGCGGGGCGCGCTGGCGCGCTGGGCAACGGGGCGCGCTGGCGCGTCGGGCAGCGGGGCGCGCTGGCGCTGTCAACATATATTTTATATGTTTAGTTTTTGTTAGTCTAGGTGTACCATTTCATATTCCTAGGGTTAGCTATATCCTCTTGTATCTCGTTTTCCTTAGTTAATCTTTTCACCCGTTCTAGTCTCGACATGGTATAGAGCTAGTCGACCCTATGGGCCCACCGCCCCGTGCCCCGACCTAGGAACGTAGCCACTTAATACCCGAAGCGCCCTGCTACCCCCCCCTTAGCTCGCGCGTCACCCGTAGTGCCCTGAGCGCGTCATCCGTTTAGCCCAGAGCGTCACCCGTTTTTTTTTTCACCCGCGCCTCACCCGTTTTCTGCCCCGTGCGTAGCTCGCCAGCCCGCTAGCGCGCAGCAGGCCCATGCGCACGTGCAGTCGTAGCCGCACATGCGACCGCGCGCACGCGCAGCATTAGCCGCACGCACGTGCAGCATTAGCCGTACGCACGCGCGGCATTAGGAGCACGCACGCGCGGCATTAGCAGCATGCACGCGCGGCCATAGCTGCACGCACGCGCAGCAATAGCCGCACGCACGCACAGCCCGCCAGCTGCGGTACCGTCTCACCCGTCCCCGCTGACCCACCTGGTGCCCGCTGTACCACCCGTCCCAGCCGCCCCACCAGTTACTCTCCCCCGCCCAGAACCGTACAGCACCGCGTAGAAACGCACAGAACCGTGCGACACCGCCCAGAACCTTACCTGCTGACCCATCCGCACCAGCCAGAGCTGCTACCCCACCCCGTACTCTCCACCGCACTGAACCGTGCAGAACCGCGCAGAACCGGGCAGAACCGCACTGAACCGTGCAGAACCGCGCAGAACCGGGCAGAACCGCACAGAACTGCGCAGAACAGCACAGAATCGTGCGGCGCCACCCAGAACCTTACCTGCTGACCCACCCACACTAGCCAGAGCTGCTACCCCACCCGGTACTCTCCCTCGCACAGAACCGTGCAGCACCGCACTGAACAGGGCAGAACTGCACAGAACCACGCAGCACCGCACAGAACTGCACCCACTGCCCCACCTGTACCAGCCAGAGCTGCTGCCCCACCCGTTCCCGTCACCACACCAGTAACCAGCCGCTATCCACCTCACTGAACCACCTGGTACCGCTCTCAAACGTACTAGACCCCACCCGAGCGTGCCCACCAGGATGGCTCCGCAAACTCAAGCTTTTCCTAGGGAGTAGGATCGAGAACGACGTTCGCCTTCTGGACCATGCCACGGGCAAACTCGTAGCCCCGAAGGAACCCGACCCCTTAGGTTCCTCCCCGTCGGACGAAGAGGAAGCTCGCTTTGAGAAGCTGCAGCTGGCGGCCAGTCGGTGGGCGGCGCGGGACGACGCCACAGTGCTCGCCATCACCGATCTCCTGCCCCTGACAGAGCAGCAGCACTTCGAGCAGGAGGTGACGGCCAAGGGCCTGTTTGATGCTGTCGTCAAACGTTATTCCACCCCAACCACTGCTTCCCTCGGTCGGCTTGTACTGCCCTTCCTATTTCCTGACCTGCCCTCGTTTCACCGCGTCCCTGACCTTGTGCTGCACTTGCGCTCGCTTGATGCCCAGCTCCGTTCTGCTGCCCCTGATGATGCCCTACTTGCCGCCAACCCCCCCCCGATGTGGATGACACTGTACCTGCTGTCCACCCGCCTCCCTGACCGTTTTGCTACAGCCCGTGACCACTTTCTCACTGTTAACCCCATGTCCCTCACCATTGACCTCTTTGAGAAGAGGCTCACTGCTGTTGAGGACCTTGCCCGTTCCCTTGCTGCTGCCTCCGGTACTGCCCTCCCCCCCATCTTTGAGGGATGTGCTCCGTCCTTCCTAGCTTCCCCTGTCGATTCGGCGTCTGTTGCCACTGTACCAGAGGTGGCAGCCGTTGCCCTTGGCAACAAAGGGGGCAAGAAGGGGGGTAAGAAGGGAGGAGGTGGTGGCAGTGGTGGGGGTGGCGGAGGGGGCGGTGGTGGGGGTGGCGGAGGGGGCGGTGGTGGAGGTGGCGTAGGGGGTGGTGGTGGAGGAGGTGGAGGGGGTGGGAGTGGTGGAGGAGGCGGAGGAGGAGGCAGTGGAGGTGGAGGTAGTGGGGCCCCCCAGCAGCAGCAGCCTCACCAGCAGCAGCCACAGCAGCAGCGGCAGCAGCAGTTCCAGGGCCAGCGCCAGCAGACGCCGCAGCAGCAGTGGAGGTCCCCTGGACCCGGGAGCTCTGTCAGCAGCAGCGGCCCGCCCAGCTGGACGTCGCGTGGTCCAGCCCAGCACCCCCCCTGCCAGTATAGGGTGCTGACTGGGCCGCGTGGAGGCTACCCTTGTGGCCGCTTCCACCCCCCGGGTCAGTGCTTTGCACAGCTCACTGACCGCTACCGTGCGCAGTTTGGCCCCACCCGCACTGTCCCCGATTGGGCCTCACTGGCTCGTTCTGTTGGCCCGCAGTTGTATAGCATGACTGCACCTCAGTTAGATGAGGCTGTGCGTTCTATGCCTGTGATGTATGCCGATGACTCTATTGTTGATGATTTTGCGTACTATTCCTGTTTCTCTAGCTTAGGTGCTGTAGAGGTTGCTAGTGCTTTCCCTGCTAGCGTAGCTTGTCCAGGTTCGACCACCGAGACTGCGTCCCTGTCGTTCACACTCGACTCTGGGGCGTCCAGCTGTTTCTTTCGTGACCGCGCCGACCTCACACCACTACGCACCCCCGTCACTGTTGCCTTGGCCGACCCCTCTGTGGGACCTGTGGTTGCTCGCAGCACCACCACTCTCCCGTGTCCGGCTGCTCCCTCTGGGGTCCTTACAGGTTACTACACCCCCTCGTTCTCTAGGAACCTGGTGGGTGTCAGCCACCTCCACGACCTCGGAGTAGTCACCACTTTTCCCTTAGAGGAGTCAGTTGCCTCCTGCACAGTCGGTACCACTGGGGCCCCTCTGGCCACCTTTCGCAGGGAGCCGGGCTCTGGTCTGTACTCACTACACACCGGGTCCCACCACACTGGGTCAGGTCTGGTCAGGTCAGGTCAGGTAGCCGCTGTGTCGTGTGACTGTCGGTCCCTCACCCACCCGTCGGTCCTCTGGCACCACCGTCTAGGTCACCCGTCGTTCCCACGTCTCAGTAGGATGGCACGTCACCGTCTGGTCTCAGGTCTCCCAGCGTCGCTTGCCCCGCTTCCCCGCTCTCCAGCGCCGCCGTGCACTCCTTGCGTCGAGGGTCGGCAGCGCGCTGCCCCTCACTCCTCCTCGTTCCCCCCCACCACGTCTCCCTTCCAGACCCTGCACTTGGACGTCTGGGGCCCCTCCCCGGTCCTTGGCCCACGTCAGGAGCGCTACTTCCTGATTGTGGTGGACGACTACTCCCGCTACACCACGGTTTTCCCTTTGCGACGGAAGGCCGACGTGCCTACCGTCCTCGAGCCGTGGCTACTAGCGAGGGGTGGCGCCCAGGGCCTGTGTGGGCTCCGTCTACACTCGGATCGTGGTGGTGAGTTCTCTTCCACTCGACTGGAGACGTTCTGTCAGGGTCGGGGGATTATCCAGTCTTACACATTACCAGCCTCGCCGCAGCAGAACGGGGTAGCCGAGCGTCGCATCGGCCTGGTCATGGAGGTTGCCCGGACCTCCATGTGCCATGCCGGTGCCCCCCAGTTCTTGTGGCCCCAGGCAGTCCGCTACGCCGCGCACCAGCTGAGCCTGTGGCCTAGTGACGCACGGCCACGGGTGACGCCGGTCTCCCTTTGGACAGGTTCTCCGGGCGTAGCAGCTGACTTCCGTGTCTGGGGCTCTCTGGCTCACGTTCGCGCCCCTGGCGCGAACAAGTTGTCTCCACGCACCCGTGCCTGCGTCTTTCTTGGTTTCCCTTTGGACGCCTCCGGCTGGTTGTTCTACGAGCCGGCCACCTACCAGTTCTTCGCTTCTCAGGACGTCACGTTCGACGAGTCTGTCTGTTACTACAGGAGTCGCCCCCACCGAGGTACTGAGGCCTTTTCCCCCCCGCTGTTCCTCACCCTTGAGCCCCCCCAGTCGCCCCGGTAGCCCCCCCCTCTTCGCGTCCTGCCCCGTCAGGTGTGTCGCACGTCACTCCGCAGTCGTCCCCCCCGCAGCGTCCAGTCCGTGTCGTGTTTGAGGGTGCGGGAGGTGCAGTTGCGGAGGGTGAGGGTACTGGGGCTGCAGGAGCTGGTGGTGTCGGCTCTGGGGGTGCAGGGGTTGTGGGTGTGGAGGTCACTCCCGTGGAGGACACGGCAGCCTCGAGCCGGCGGCCTCGCCCCGCGTCACCCCCTGGCTTCCCGTCCGTCCCGCAGTTCCCTCCTCGTTCTTCTCTGCGGCTGGTTTCTGCGGAGCCCGGGGGTGCTACTGCGGGAGGAACTGGAGGCTCCGGGGGTGTCGACGGTGGAGGTGTTGGTTCTGGGGGTGCTGGAGCTGGAGGCACTGGCACTGTGGCGCCTACACCGCGCACTGTACGTTTCCTGACCCGTGAGCAGCGTCTCTTCCAGTTGGAGAGGGAGGAGCGTGCGCGGTTTGAGAGGGCACAGCAGCAGCAGCAGCAGCAGCACGAGAGAGTAGAGGAGGAGTCACAGCCGCAGCAGGAGAGGGTAGAGGAGGAGTCACGGCCGCACCAGGAGAGGGTAGAGCAGGAGTCCCACCCGCAGCAGCAGGTGCAGTTACAGACCCGGCAGGAGCGAGTAGAGGAGCAGTCACCGCCGCACCAGGAGAGGGTAGAGCAGGAGTCCCACCCGCAGCAGCAGGTGCAGTTACAGACCCAGCAGGAGAGAGTAGAGGAGGAGTCCCGGTCCCAGCAGCGGGTGCAGCTGCAGTCGCAGCAGGAGAGGGCAGAGGCGGAGCCACAGGAGCAGCAGCAGGGGCCGGTACCGTCGCAGCAGACGCCAGAGGAGGCGGAGCAGCACCGACTGCGACTACGCGACCTCCCCGACCCATCACCTGCACGCTTTGTTCGTGGTCCCCTACCGTCCCCTCCTGTTCCCCCTGTTGAGTCCCTTTCCTCGTCCCAGTGGACTCGTCGTTCTCCCCTCAGTCGTGCTGTGTCCCCTGAGCGTCGTCGGTCCCGTTACCGTGCAGACGGTCCGTTCCACCTCGTTCTTCGCTCTCGTGTTCCACCTCCTCCCGTCCTTCCACAGCCCCCTGAGTCGTCCCTCACTGTGCTTCATGACCCGTTGTCCGACTACCTTCGTGCCTCCCGTCCTGTTGTCTCCCGT